ACTATAGAGCGCCGATGTCTTTGGAGGGGGCATTGAAGGAAGCGAGCCTTAACAGAACTTGGGACAGCCTCAGGGAGGGAACGGATTCTTAGAGGGGCGGGGGTGACGTGAGCAACCTTTGTTCTCCCTGGCGTTTCTCCCCTCTCCTGGGCTTGGTCCTAAAGCCACTTACCAGTGGTTTTTAAATGCCTGTTTCGAATGTCCCCCTTAAGAATATGATCGCCAATATTAGTTTTGAACAATAAACCCAGAAAATCACCAGAAAGAAGTTACAGAGCTTGACCTGAAATATTAAGAGCGAAAATCTGAAGCTATCGAAATTCCGTCAAAAACGCTACCAGGAATGTTCGAGAAGTCGTGAATGAATGGCACTCTTGGCGAAGTGGCGCGCTCGAGAAGAATAGCTAATTATTTACGGCAACTGAAGAAGAAATAACTAGCTGAAGTGTAAATTCTGCGAATGACGAGGTTCTATGGAACTGAATGAATAGAAGACAAGATTAGTGACACCGTTTTACGCATGGGTACAGTTCAAGGTTCGACGAACCCAGGACGGGATCCGAAACTGGACGGGCGGGGTTGACGCGGGGAGCGCTATCGATCGGTGGCACGCGGCCGTCATTTCAGGACTTCAACAGCTGACTGAATCGCGGCGACTTTATATGGATCAATTGAGTACTTGAGTACTTTATGCCCGGACAACTCGTAAACCCTCTAAGGTATGTAAAACCTAAAACGGACGGTCAAAAAAGGATCCCATTTTCGCAAAACGGTGTGTTTTACTTCGGTACACATCAGCTATACTTCACACTTTACCCCCATAGGAACGCGCTCTTTTTGAGGAATTGATTTGCCAATCAATAATTGTCTCTTGGGCGCAGCGGTGAATTAAAGCCTTTCAAAAGCCTGCATCATAGGGAACTTCCCTGCCCCTGAGCCGGTGTGACGCTTCATAACATTCCTTCCGACAGTTCAATGGGATTCCCAACTTATTCAACTTTTTTGTGACAGCAACCGTTGTTGTTTCATTCGCCTTTTGTTTCTGGGATTGAATAACCAGATGCCTTTGTGGATGGCAACAATTTGGAAGAATGACCAGACTCAAACTGGGATACTGACACCAGCAAACAGAGAATAAGGCACATTCACAACCCAAACAGAATTCAAAATCAGGAAACAAGGTGAGGGTGGACGGCCCGATTTTTGTAAATGCGTGGTTAGAATGCGAGGATGGGTGACTCAGTACGGCACCGCGCAAGTCACGCGGCATCGAAAAAAGTTACCGGCAGCGTATTCATATTGTTGGGGTCGTCTTCATATTCGCAAACCCAGTTCGTCATGATGGGGGAGGGGTCGATGTATGGAGTGCAGTAGCAATGAATTTAAAAAATGGTGTAGTTAAGTTTCAGATATGTCTGTTAGGGTATCCTTTGGCAAGTAATTAGTTATGGAGGAAACTATGTTGGGTAAATTAAGTCGGTGGATTTTCGCTATTTTTTTTTCCACCGTTATGCCGTAGTCTCAGATTTCTCAGATGGCGGAGATACGGAGGTTGGGATGGGTACCCGACAGAGGCCCGCTCGATTGGCAACAAGACAGGTGTTAGCGCACGAGTCGACAATCGTGTATGGTGGTGATCCTCGCGCTTTTTCCCCCAAAAAGGGGACTAAATATTATAGATATGCCACCATTGTAGGTCATCACGATCGCAAATCACGTGTGCTACTTGGTCCACGACTCTGCCTTCTTGCGCTGCGAACGAGCCTCTGTCAGCTGACCGGCTGGCAGTGTATTCGCTCAGCCTGGGGTCGTATGAGCCATGATAATCTTCCTCGACACGCGGCGGCTTACGTAATTTGGTGTCTATAGGCATTTAATGGTTTACTTATGTTTGGAATAGTCAGCTAGCTATCGACGTCGAAGTTCCCCAACAACTAAAAAACGAAAAAATATGTAGTGATTGAAGTGAAGGAATTTGAGAAGGAGAATGTCGGCGACTATATGAAAAATGATAAAAACCATTCGTGGGATGTGCATGACTATCTACTTCACTGGGAATCGGCCAGGATTTGATTGGGTTGGATCTACATATGATGACTGCAAATCAACCGTGTGCCGGTCGAGTATCGTGTTAATCGACCTAGCTCAGGATAAGGGAGTTCATGGCCCGGGCGACCTCGAATCGAGATTTGATCCGAAAATCGTGCGCATGATAGGAAGCCACTTGTCGCCTACACCACCTCTAAATGATGAGAGTAGAATCTTCTCATTTTATGAAGCGCTAGGCTGGTGTGTTGGTTTGTCTGTAGTCTGTATGTATGTACGCATGTCTGCTTGTCTGATTACCGTCCTGCCAAACATTTAACAGTGAGTGATAAGGGAGCTAATGGAATAAACAATTGCCTAAGGCCGCGTTCATAGTTCGCGACTCCGGAGATTAGGATAGTACGCGACAATGAAAAACATATGTATTGACGGGGAGATTAGGATAGTAGTAGATTAGGATAGTAGTAGAGTAGGAGATTGCGCTGACAAGATTAGATACGTATCGATTGAAATCGCCGGAGAGTAGTAGATTGCGATATTACGATAGTAGGATAGTAGTAGAGTAGGAGATTAGGATAGTAGTAGATTAGGATAGTGCGCTGACAAGATTAGATATGTATTGATCTATTCGCTTGAAGTCGCCCAATCTACTACTCTCCAGCGATTTCAATCGATACGTATCCAATCTTGTCAGCGCAATCTCCTACTCTACTACTATCCTAATATCCTGTCGCCTACTATCCTAATCTCCCGAGTCGCGAACTATGAACGCGGCCTAACGGAATCGGGTAGCTCGGCAGGACTTTAGCTATCGGTTTTTAATAGGAGTTGTGATTAACACCCTACGGCTTATTATAAACACCCACTAAGTCGACGTTGGTCATTTCACATGTGGTTGCTGCAATGAAGCTGGAGGGCAAGTGAAGGGAGGGGAATGGGGAGAGAGGCGAAACTACAACGACCTAAGGTACAGTTATGGTAGCGATATGTCATTCTACCCGCACGTCTATGGTTATGGCGATGCTCTCCTTTATGCATCGCGTCACTAAAATGGGTAACCGGCATGTGTCTGTCAAGGGTGAAAGGGACCACTGCGGAAGAGGTTAAGGCCTACGTAGGGAAAGGTCTCGGCGGTTGACGGGGGACCAATCTGGTGAAATAAATATTGCATGATTACTAAGAACTACCACATTTTCGCAAATAATCGTCAAGAATAATTTAACGTAAAAGATGAATAAGGAAGTGAGATCAGAGCGGCAAATCCAGCTGGGATGAAACCAGGTGAGATGTCGGTCAGACTCTGCGATTGCATCGCGCGATGCAGTCGCTCTGCCAAAAGTGCAAGCGGCGGGCAATGGCCCGCCGCGATCGATACCGATGTCGACTGCATCGATGTGGGCGGGGCCAATCGCCCGTTTGTGCACATTGCAAGAGCGACTGCATCGCGCGATGCAATCGCAGAGTCTGACCGACATCTGATGATCGAATATCCGGTGTTAGCGTAGTGTTAGGAAGAACGACAAACCGGTGCTTCTCCACACTACTCCAAAGCGTTTCCATTCGGATACTTCTATTCGTCTCTTTTTTTTGCTTCAACGATCTAACAGAGATAAACGGTGGAGCCACGCAGAAACGGCGAGAGAAGGTGGGGGGGCTGAACCTTTCATGAGCCTTCACATCTTCGGTAGACTAAGACTGGTGGAGTGCTCTTGATAAACTCTGATCGTCCGCTACGCCATCTCCCGACAACTAACACTGATTTTTTCGGCAAGATTCCCATATCTGATGTGACGCTTTGTTGGTAAGCGGCTTCTCTATTTAATGTATTTTATTGTGCTCATGGGTCCTGCTACGAAAAGATGAAGTGGTGTACAAGTGGTAAGCAGTGCTGCTACCACATGCATGAGCTTGTGCTCAAATCCTGGGTCTTTCGCTGTTTTACCAACTAAAACTGTATACCATAACACTGCTTTAAGGCCTCTGCCTTTCGAAAACAGATGGTCGTCAATGTTGCAGCACCAACAACCACAACTGACGACGTTTCACAAATATGTTAAATGTTTTCTACCATGCGAATGATTACCGGTTACTATTTGTGTTCACTTAGTTGTCACAGTTACAGCTATTCATTACAATATCAGCTATCACAAAAAAGCGCGCTGAATAGTAGGTTTTACGGTGGAGCTTGCCATCACTTGTGTGTGTGTGGTTTTTGCTGCATTGATTCTCAGAAGACAGAGGCATAACATCGCTGGCTTTTGCTTTCATATCTTTTTGTTTTACTGCCGGACCAGGGCGAAAATCCCGCTCGAGTCAAGACAACCGAGGATTTCTTTCACGCTCTCCACGCGGATGCTCACTCTCGCCACCCGCGAGCCGTCTGTGCTCTCCGCGCATTCATTCACTCTCGACACTACTCTCGCACGGTAGAGAGCCATGGTCGAGGAATTCCTCGACCGTTATTCACCCTGCTGCCAACCATTTTCGCACCATGGCTATCATTTTCGGGGACAAGAAGCACACCAGTCGATTTCGGGGTCTGCCTTTAGGTAAATCATCCTTTGAGCTTGACAGCATTATTTCACATGCCAGTTGCTTGAAATCGCGTGCAGAGATGCATAAAAAACGCCTCATACTTCAACATAATATCGAACGTTTCAACGGAAATTTGTTGTGATCCCATTTCCCAAGAGCTCCATATAATTTCAGATCCGAACAGGATACTGAAATTCACCTGAAGGTACGAAAGCCTCAAAACGAACTTCTCGTTTAGGACCGAACCTTTAGATGTTGATTACGGAAAAAAATCACATAAAATTTATTAAACACAAATCAGCAAATCTAAGAAATATCGTGTATTATGAACAACAAATTCAAGAGATACTGTAAAGCCGTGTGGTCAAAAGCTCACATGTTCAATTATCACTATGTCTAAAGATTTAAATTTACTGAAATCATATGGCAACGAGGAGGAACGACAAAGAAACACATCGACAAACAGATCCTGAAATTTGACGCAAAAAGTGACAAAATGCCAGACACAACGATAATATGGAGGAACACCGGGACACGCCATATGGGACGAGTTGCTGCCGTGGGCGTGGTTCCGCATTCAGATACACGAGGTACACGTCCTTTTCATACAGAGGATAGCGGAAAGAATGTTGAGGAACACTGAAAATACATTGCTATCACAAATTATCAATTTGGGGAAAATTTGGGAAAAAATTCATGAAACAACCAATTTTTTCATCGAGCACAATTTAGGGTTACTATCGAGCGCGCTCACGTTTCGGTCGCATTTCATTGTCCGAGATGGGTTAAAGGCTTCCGTTCCAGCTGCTTGGAAAATTCATTGAAGCAACAATTCTAGATCGAATCGGTAATAAAAGTGCGATAATGAAAATTGTGGATGTCTGGTTGGCTGCTGCAGATGGAAACAGAAGCAAGGGAAACCGCCGATGAAGCCTTCATATGCAGACTCCCTCCGTCCAGGGTTAGCCCTATCGTTGTTACTTTTTGAAAATTTTTTACGACCCCCCTCCCCCAAGGTGGATTTGATACGACCCCCTTTTCCACACCTCGACCACCATCATCGTCTCTATAGTATTTAATTCTGATACCACTCAACCCACCAAACTCCGCCCACTTTTTCCTCCAAAAATGCCGTCGAGCGGGGAGGGGGTATATATACGCGCGCTGAAACGGCAAATTTTTTTTCCTGCGCCCCTCAACTCACCCAGCCTACCTACCCATAAAAACTTCAGTTTCACCTCAAACTCACATGTGATTTCAAGCGACTGAAACGGGTACGACCCCCCTCCTACAAACTCAACCAAGTACGACCCCCCCCCCGTTGTTACTAGTAACAACGTAGGGTTGACCCTGGCTCCGTCCCTCTTGAGAGATAAGGAAGGGGCGGGCCGGACAAACTCGCTTGTCAAGAACCGTTTTTACTGAAGGCTTTGCCACTGATTTCATTCTTTTGGAGAGACATGTAGCTTCCCAAACATTAAAGTTTCTGAGGTAGGAACGGCGCATGTTTGGTCATGAAGCATATAGAATTCCAGCGCAGGGGGAGCACCAAATTAAACGGTTCGGATAGGACCGCGACTCTGCCTTTTAAATTAGTCCCTGTAGTCCTAAACGGGCGCCACATCTACGCAGTCGAAGGGCGCTTTCGTGGGCTTTACGCGATATAGAGGCAACACATCACTCCCGGACCACCAGGCGCTCCTCAACAAAAAACAACACCACCGGACACTGTGGGGTTGGAGTAAAGGTAAGCGGATCGAGGGTTCACAGTTCACGTCCTTCGTAGCGACTTCCAAGGTGAGTTTTTGTTCAGTGACACTTCTTATTTTCTTGATTAGGGCTAACGCATCATTACCACTCCATTTGTACCGAGTGTATGGATCCTGCTAGGACTGCTGGGTGAAACTCGGGTTCGGGGGGGGGCACGCGATGGCGCGGCGCTGGTTTCTGCCTCTTTACGAGGCTAGGGTCAAGTAGTTCATTTTGAACACCCGATAGTAGAAACTGGGCATGACAAGGGAGGGTAATTACATTGCGCCGATTGCGATACTACAAAGAGACGCCCAGGCTCTTAAGGAAGAGAGAATAGGCTTGTATCGCGGCCGGGGGTGGGCTCACTGACGCACTTAGGAACTCTAACCCTGACGAACTACGTGCTTAGCGAGCTCGCCTTCGAGTGCGAGGACTCGGGCTATGATTGGTCTGACATGCTGATACTGTTTTTCGTCGTTATTTACTTTTTATTCGAAAAAAAGCATTGAGCAAATCAAGCGACTTTGGAGCGTTCTTTGATTTCATAAGTGATGCGCTTTTAGTTAACCCATTGTGGAACGCCTTATGTGCACCTCCACAGTTTTTGCCGGCCATTTTTATCGGTAACAATATATTTGCGAAAGCTCGTCAGCACTTCAAAATATATGTTTGCTCATAAAAAGCTTATTTGTTGAATTTGCTATTCAGAAATAATGGCAAATAAACAAAGGTAACATTATTTTGCGTTGTGGACGTGTGCTGCTACATCGCTGCTGCACGCGGTCCGCAAATGGGTAAAGGTATACTGCAGTTTGTTGGATGATACGGCTACGGGGTAATCTGTAGCATGCTGTGTCATATTCCATACCAGCTGTTCCACGATCAGGCACAATCCATGCATGCTTGCGGTGTGTGGTGCACAGCGAACCATTGTTGGCGAGGGATTAGCTGGGGGGGGGGGGGGGGAAGAAGAAAAAGAGTACAAACGAGTTCGGCTCTGTTACAGCCTCGTATAGAGCGGAAATCAGAGAAGGCTAGAATGGTTCCATACCGTGGATTTTGAGCCATTTCCTCCCGCATTCTTCTTGACCAGTGCACCCTCGTTAGTGTCCGACGACTTCCGTATGACTAAACGAAAGGGTCTCGCCTGGTTGCGCTCAGCCGCATCAGAGAAACAGCTCCAAAGCCGTGCTGCGCGGAGGTCCTGGCGCGCCGTGCTGTCGAAGCTTCGAGAAGAGCGTCAGAGCGTGCAGAGCCTGCAGTCAGTCTACGTGTTGCCGTCGTCGAGTCTGGCCGTTCGCTACGTTCGTATTCCGTCGCCGCCACTTTGCGTGTCAACTCCTCATACGTTCGCAAGTGGAAGCGGGCATGGAAGCCCGAGGAAGTCCAGCGGAACCGAGCCACGTCGCCCCCACGTAACGGAGACTACTGGGTTCGACCCGTGAGTTAGGCGTAGTAGTCGTATACCTTTGTAGTATTCTCTTATTCGTAGCTATACATGAATCTATGGCATTGATTTGTTTGTTATGTAGATATCTCGAGCGGTTTTATCCGCGTTAGTGTTTCTATATTCTATGTGTAGTCAATCAATCTTCTATCGGTGTAGTCAATAGTCCATGCGTTGCTAGCGTAGACAAGGCTAGTGTTCCATCATAGGGTGTAAGAACATATTAACATCAAGGCGTAACCCTGGGAATGTGGTATCGTAGTCAATGGCGGCATATTACAGTCGGGGCTGCTTAGGCCTATTGGGAGTCCGCGTGGCACAGTGGCGAGCAGCGAGCGCGGCGTAAGTCCCCGGCAACCCTCACGCCGACACCGACGCCGCTCCTAAGCAGGGTTGACCCCGATGCTCTTTAGCTTATGCGAGGAGCAAGGCGTCCGTGCCGGCGCGACACTCTACCACCACAACTTGTAGCTCCAATGGGCAACGTCATAGCAATCTGGCTCCAACAAATTGAATATCAATCTAATCTTGCCGCCGCATGACCGCTCTTCTTATGCCTTCTGGCCAACTTGGTAATAAACCTTATTTCAACTACATATTTCAAACGAGGAAATACCCCGTTTCACCAGGCTATCATATAGAAAAGAATTTTGTTGTAGGGTCATTAATGTTTTGAAGATCGTCGAATAATCTGCACATGACCTGAATGGATTTCTCAGATCACGCACAAGAAGTGGAGCTGGCCACAATTTTTTTTCATCACCAGGCCGTTCGGAGCGATCTTTTCAAAATTCTGTCCAATTTTTTTTGTGGTACGTTCAATAACGCGAAAATTCTTAATGGAGTCTAGAATTATCCAACTGACCTTCTATAGCTGCTACGGGCGGGGTGTTTAGATTTGCTACGAATCGACAGTTGTCCCAGCTCGAGTTCACAGCAACAGACCTACTTTCAGCTGCCACAGGCAATGTTCGAAGTCGTATCGATGCATATTAGAAAGATATACCTGATCCTGAAACAACTCTCAATGATATGCCGTAAAGTTAGCCTCAGTAGAGCTCAACAGCAAGACGCTTAGGGCTGGTAGCAGACTTTGCGAATCGAGCGATGCACTAGAGATTCGCTCGATTCGCAAAGTCTAACACCGGGCCTTATGCTTCGAGGAACTCCTACCTGGAGGCGTCGTGTGTGCCCAGTAGGCAGAAAGCCTCATCACGATCGATTCGAGGATGATGATAGGTGCCAACTAGGGCCCAGTTTCTGAAAAAAAAACAAACATTTTCTGAAAAAGGTGGGAAATTGGCGAATGGACCATTCTTTCATAGAAGAATGTCTTCAATAGGCTCCTAGAAGTCGACTAAGAGATCATTTCAAACAGCAGAAGTGAAAAAAGCCATCACAATCACACAAGCAAACTCAGTTGGCGGGAAAAAGGACAAGGCTAAAACTTTTTGCCGATCAAATTCCGTCTTTTGGGATGCGGCACGCATTCTACTTCCATTTGTACATTCGCAGTGGCTTTTGAATGCGATGTGGCCTATACAATGACTTGCGGGGGCCAGCCGATGTACAAGTCAGTGTTTTTATCCTCCCAGACAAGTCTGGTACCAATTAACCGACCCCGGAGGGATGGAAGGCTTGGTTGGCCCGGGCGACTCACGACCCAGGATTTGATCCCGGACCGCTCGCGTGGTAAGCGAGTGAGCTACTTCCACTACACCACTTCACCCCGACGGTCGTGGGAAGGTTTATGAGCGGTGTACGCAATACATAGGGATTAGGGGCTATCTGGAGTTTGCCCCGTTGATTTTCAATTGTACCAACGGCCAGTCTCGATGAAGGGCGGCTTCTATTCGAGCGGCCCACTAAAATTGCATTGATCTAAGTTGAGCTCTTGGTCCTGCTATTGTCAAAACCGCTATCCAACTTGTGGATTCAGAGGACTAAGGCCAGAGTGTGACAACCTGTGCGTTGCGCAGTTGCTCCACACGGTGCCACGTTGGCAGAATTGCCTTCATACAAGCACGCGTTAGGGCGTGAGAGCACCAGACGGTATCTAGATGCGAGATCTGTGATATGTTCGCGCGAGAGAACGTGTCTAATTCGGGCGAATACTGTGCGCAACGCCACGCGGAACCTTTCTCGTGATCCTGAAGCGTGTAAAACATTGGTCGGTAATTCCCGCATCAGACGTTGAAAACGATCGATTCAGATGAAGATAATAACAATGTAGGGTTGGGACTTCTATTTCTATGCATGTAGCTAGCTTTAGGCGACAGAAGCAATTGTTGGTCAGATACGTCCGACAAATACGGTTGTATAATAAGCAATTGGGAATTTTCCTTTCAAAAAGACAGTGAGCATTTGAAAAGAAATTACTGGAGACTTTTGAAGTTGTAAGGTAAAAGGTAGTCTATTTTTTACTTCTCATCAAGTACTCATCAAGTACATTTTCCAAACCCAAATAAATAAAAATAGACAAAGGAAAAGAAAATTATATGCCCGTCGTAATAAGTGTTCTGTGAGATGGTCCTCTTTGGTCCTTAGTCAATTTTACTGGGAATAAGAAATACGATGACTGCTAGTTAATATTCACTGAAGTGAAAGAAGCATTACCGAGCGCTGAGACCTCCGCTGACAAGGCACATCATCACTGCGACCAATGACAGCACCAGATGAGCCATGTATAGGTTGACTGTGCCAATTTTGGCTGCAGCACTGCCCACCTGAATGAGTAGGATTAACAACAAGAGGAACATGGGTTACTGTAAGCGGAAAAGTCAAAGGACTAGTCAAACGTTCTAAAGAGATACACATTGTCGGATACGATTGGGAGGACAGAAATGGGCGGTGGAAGATGACAGCAGAACCGCTTGTGCTGTCCACAGATCGCTTTTCGGACCGAATCCCACCTAGTCCCAACTGTCCCTTTACCTCTTATCCTTCCGCTGGGGTCTGCAAAATGGTTATGCCCTGCATGGGAGCACAAAAAACGCAGGTTGACTGGCATGAACACTGGCTAGCCCTTTAAAGGATTTAAAGTTCCCATGCATTCAAGCGACACCACAATTTCTAATAAAAATGGGATTGTGGCGCATGTTAGAGGAAAATAAATAAATCGAAACCAGGTGCTCTATATTTCATGCTTGGAAGGATAGTTTCAAGCTCATTTTACTGTGGCTGATTGAGAAACAAGTTATTGGGGAAGTAATCGATAAACAAAAGACCAATCAATAAAGGGAAAACTTACCAACGAGTTCAGAATATATACAGCTGATGTCCATATGGCGGAATAGTATGGACAGTAGTCGGCTGTGTCCCGGTAGCACCAAATACCGCCGATCAAAATAACAACTGGAAACACACTTTTGTTCTCCATTTAAAGGTACAAAGGTGGTAAAATAGATTAATCTCGAGAGATTTCGCGGACCAATTCTACCGGAGGGGAGGGGAGGAGGCGCGCATTTATCATCCTTCGCATAGGAAGAAATTGAGTTAATTCGAAACCCCCATCACTATGCACGTTTCGTTGCTTAATTTCGATTATTCCGCTCGAAAATAAAAACAATATTAGAGGAAACTTGAAAAAATTGCCAAGAACATGGAGAATAAAGTCCATCATTCGTATAAAGTGCCGGGAAAAGTGGGCGAATAAATTCACCATCTCGCCATTCAAGAGGGGACCTTCTGTGTAGAAGTTTCAGATAAAAAGAGCGTCGATGCGAGAGCTGACTCGGAGCGAGAAGAGGTGGAGAACGGCGAGGCAGCAGACGTCAAATTCGCAGCGCTAGCATGGAACTGCCTGTTTAAGGCGTTTACGGTAGTTTACTGAAAACCCACGTCCTTATCATTGCGTTTGGAGCGGCGATATTTCATTGGCCCTTACTCTACGGACACGCGAATTTCATTCGCTGGAGAACTCGTTGAAAGTGGACGATGATGCTCCGATCCACTTATTTTGCACAGTTTATCTCAGATTGAAGCGCGATGGCTACTCTACAATATAACAAGGTCGCTGTTTTGATTACGGCACTTGGAATCGGTGTCCCCCAACAGGCCCACCGCGCGGCGAAGCAAGAGACGCAGACGCGGCAAAGGGACGAGTCGCAGCGCATACTGTAGCGGTTAGGCGTCAGGTTAAAGAGAGTGTACCATACTACGTCTCATATCGCACAGCACGCGCTGCAACTCGTCTCTTTGCCGCATCTGCGTCTCTTGCTTCGCCGCGCGGTGGGCCTGTTGGGGGACACCCGTCGAACAACCAAAATTGCTTTACAGCTGTACTACATCGTTACCGAATCATAAACCATGAATAAGCCTGTTCAGTCCCTGTTGTATAGGATCTCTGCTAGGCTTACATAAAAGACTCTGAAGATCTGTGATGCTGATCTCTGGAGTTATGGTATCTTTACCATCGAAGCTGAGTTGGAGAGAAATGGTGAAGCGGGGGAATAACTAGTAGCACAGTTCCCAGGAAGCAAGAGATCCAGGTACGAACGCGGCCGGGCGAGAGTTACGTGCACACATCAGGCGATTTTGTTGATGCTCTGAAAGGGATCTTCTCTCTCACAAATTTCGTGGCCAACGGTGGCATGAGGCATCCCCAAACCCCCTACTTAGGAAAGGTAAGTTCTTCCTTCTCTGGGTACACGAGAATGCGCATAGCAGCTGCTCAATTTAACTCGACATAGAAAATGAGGTTTGTTGAAAGATTCGGTAGCGGTTTCGTCATCTGTAAGGAGGGTGATGCGTGTAGTAGAAAGGGATTAACTAGCGAGCCAATCAGTGGCATTGGGTGCATGTCTATACTTCAGATAAGGATTTTGTGGAAATTGAAGCTCTAAGACCAGGGTCAGATTATACCTAATGGCGGCCCTTATTCAGGAGGAGTAGCTATTAAAACCTCCCCGGCAAGCATTAACTCCACCAAGCAAAGCCTGAACATGCCACGATTCTCCCTTCGAGGAAATCGATCGAACCACATTGGATTGTAGGCTCGGAATGCCCTAAGCCGTACGATGGTGTAGTGATGGTGGTGCGGCAGCGCAGCGGAACCCGGTGGACGCCCTCGGCGTGCGGCGCCGATTGGCCCTGGCTGGGAGGGACTCTTCCCGACGGTTCAGCTGTTTGGAAATCGTTCGTGGAGACTCGAAAAATACCAAGAAGTGGAAATGTATAAATCACGACCGTTTCTTTGACCTTTTTTTGCGTCGCCTTTAACATGTCCCATAAGCGTGTGTATTGAGAATATATATTGATTTTGCGCACGAAAGCACATATGCATGAAAATTAGTGACTTAGTACACTGACTGAATAGGAATTGTATACCTGATTTGATGGTTGATTTGCAGTAGGAGCTGGCGCATAGCCATATTGGTAGCCTGGCCCGTACCTATAGTCCTTGCCCATGCTTGGGGCGACCGAGGTCACTGAAGCAGCACATAAATATAAAAAAGCGAAGGAACAAGCCGAGGATATAACGCCAATCAAAAATGAACATAGCAGAGATATTCCGTTAAGGAAGGTAGACGCCTCAAAAGAAATTTGAAATTTGAGGTATTCAACAATGTCTTTCAGGAACAAGACTACGATTCGTTATTTCACTTATTGAAGACACACCCCACCATTAAACGGTCATGATTTCTGCATATGGGAATAGAAGAAGTTGTTCAAAATGGAGCGGTAATGAATAAAAAAGGAAACGAGCCCGCCGAAAACGTTAAAATAAAAGGATTACTCATTTTTGCAAATTGGTGGTGCTAAATATCATACAATGAGTGCGAAGAAGAGAGCATAGGAAAGAACACAACGAATGAGAGGTTGCGCCCCGCATGTTACGAAACACAAAAATGGTAGCAGTTGAAGTGGTCCTTGGAAAGCTCTAGCCCCTTGTCGCACAACGTCGGAGCAGGGGAACGATTGCACCACTTGAACTCATCGCGGGATGTAATTTCTCAGCTTTTTTAAAAAAATCTTCCAGCTGCGGGCGGAGATTGCCCAATGACAGTACGCAAATTTCACATTCCGAACTACTTTCACATCCATGTCAATCGGCATTACACCCTTTTGGGGCTGACAAATTGCTACGACTGAGGGTACAAAAACACTTATTTCTGATCAACAAGTCTTCGCACTTATTTCTGATTACCAGGCCTTCGCATAGTCAAACACTATTTCATGAACCACTATGACTCTGGCTGAAAGTCGAATGCGTAGCGCATCTAACAAACCTAATGCCGAACATATCCGTTTTCTATTCTTTCGAGGCCAAAAATACCAAAAAAGTGAACACAGAACGATTACGGATGAAAGTGAGCTGGAGGAGAGAGGGAAGGAGGAAAAAATCGGCGTAGGCGAAGCCCTGTGGCATACGCCACGTATTTTGCTATGATACAGATTTCAGAGGAATTTGAGCATACAGTGTCTTGAAGTCGGTAGTGGCCATAATAAGAAATATTATAATACAGTGAACAAGACAAAAAGTTCTTTTTTCTCAGCCGAATCCATTCCAAACACTGATTGAATAATCGAAAGAGATGAGTGAAGAGGTGGAACTGATCCTCAAGGCTCGTTACCGACCACTCAGTTGTGATGTATAAGAGGATGGGAAAGTGATTAGAAGCTCATGTAAAAAAGATAAAGATCATAAGGTAAAGATCGTTGGTTCCAAAAGCGAAAAATAAATAAAAATAAATAAATAAATTGTAAAGGATAAAAAAGTTGCTGACATTGGTCGGTCCCGTTTCGGGATGCGCCACGCATTCTACTTTCATTCAGAATCGCAGTGGCACTTTAAATGCGACTACGTCCTATAAGAGTGAGACGAGAGCCAGCCGTCACAGTTTTGTATCCTCTCATACAAGTCCGTACCAAGTTAGTGAACTCCAGAAGGAGGTAGGCTTGGTTGACTTGATCGTTGTATGATCCAGGATTTGATCCTTGGACCGCGCGCATAGTATGCAACGCCGCTATCACTACACCAACTACGCTTGAGCAAATAAGTGAATGAATCAAGTAGCTCTCAGAACAACAAAAACCGTTCATGTAATGCAAAAACGGATGCTGGAGAATGTAACAAGGAAGATGGAAACCATGAAAAGAGGAAAAGCGCCCGTTGGATAGCGGATGCTGTGTCAAGTTCAGAGACGAAGGTGGCCCAGCGGATTGCCCACACACCGTAAAATTCCCCGAGAATAGGTGCAACTTTGGCATGGGAAAAATAAGAGAGTAGACCGGTCTCTCATAGGCAATCGTGCATTGCGCAGCTCTTGAAGGGGGGGGGTCGTATATGAGTTTCTTTTTCTTTTTTCGAAGTGGGTGGGTCATATTCAGGGTGGGTGAAGGCCACAATTCGATATTTGGCGCTGTATTTTTGGAAGTGGTGAAAGGGGTCCTGGTAAAGGGAAAGGGGATCGCGTTTGACGGGTGACCATTTCGGAGGAAACTTCACGAGGAAGCTCGAAAGTAACAAAATTAGTGGGTTTGTCGGCCCTCTAGACATTTTGCAGATGAAAAAGTAGGCGGAGTTGAAGCGCGTCGGCTCGTCTCGAAAATCAAAGTACTAAGTAGAAACATGACGACATGACGGCGAGGGTGGATCATTCCAAGAAACATTTGCATTTTGTGGAGGCCGTCGTCACTTGTGATGTATGGTCTGCACCCGACGCTCTTCTCGTTTTTGAAAGGTAGGGCATAAACTCTTTCCGGAGAAAAAAATGGTTCAAAATGATGACTAGAAATTTTAGAAGTTACTGTTTCAAGAGATTTATTTATATGAACGTGACGGGGCCCGTTTTCATTTCTCTTAAGCAGCATTTATACTTCGCAATTTTGGTAGTTTAGGATAGTAGTAGAGTAGGATGATTGCGCTGACAAGATTGGATACGTATCGATTGAAATCGCTGGAGAGTAGTAGATTGGCGACTTCAAGCGAATAGATCAATACATATCTAATCTTGTCAGCGCACTATCCTAATCTACTACTATCCTAATCTCCTACTCTACTACTATCCTACTATCGTAATATCGCAATCTACTACTCTCCGGCGATTTCAATCGATACGTATCTAATCTTGTCAGCGCAATCTCCTACTCTACTATCCTAATCTACTACTATCCTAATCTCCCCGTCAATACATATGTTTTTCATTGTCGCGTACTATCCTAATCTCCGGAGTCGCGAACTATGAACACGACCTAAGCGTAGGTATAACCTTGTGTCATTTACCTCAAGCCTTATCACTACTTTCCAGGGTGAAGGAGTTTGCACTCGCGGCTGACAAGTCCAGTTCTGGGACGCGCCACGCTCTCTTCTTTGAGAAGGATTTCTCTGAGAAGTTACGTGGTCACCAGGAGGATAGAGAGGATGCCGGCTCCACCTATTTTGACTGTTTAACATCTCGAATCAATCAAATTTGTAAGGGCATGTGCGGCACGGAAGCTCAACTAATTCCTTGTACCCTGCCCCTTCTGAGCTTTTTTTTTCAATTTTGCACTCACATGCTCTTTTTTCTTTGCAAGCCATTCAATTTCAGCGGGTACCTAAGAATCCGAAATTTTCATTGCGCACGTCTAAAAACAATAGAGGACCGCTTAGGGGAAAACTACAGAGAAAAATCAGCAAATCGGTTTACAAGCCGTTCATTCTACTAATGTAGTAGGTCTCAGCAATACCCCGTCCCGCCAGCTATCCCATCTTGACTGGTTGATGCTAACGTAATAACGCAAGCAGATCAGGAAAACAACAGCTTTTAATTGGCTGGCTTCCTCAATTCTCTAAAAGAGGCCAGTACGAAAAAAAAATGCCAACAGCTATCACAGAAAATGGAATTCAAACATGCCGAATATCAGTTGCAGCTAAACAAATCCTCATCCTTGTTGCATCCTTCGAACTGCGAGCTACGATTCAGATAGAGGGCAAACACGGCTTCACGGAATGCGAAAATCGGATCTTCAAGCCAAGCTCCAGAAACTATCCCCCCCTCCTTTCAAAAAGCGAGAAAGTGTCGGGTGCAGACCATAACACCACAACTGACGACGGCCTCCAAGTAAATCTGGTTAGAAGTGTTCATAGTGATAGCTGATTTTTGGTAAATGATAGTTGTAATTAGTGACAACTGATAGAATACAACTGCAACAGGCTAATCATTTCATTGGCAGAAAACATTTACATTTTGTGGAGGCCGTCGTCACTTGTGGTGTATGGTCTGCACCCGACGCTTCTTCTCGTTTTTTGAAAGGGATATATAGTGAAAACAAA